TATCTATCTATCTATCTATCTATCTATCTATCTATCTATCTATCTATCTATCTATAAATAGCAGATTGTTCGATGTGTTTGTATGGGTATTTGTGCGTGTGTATGAGCGTGTGTGTGTACGAATGAGTGTGTGTATAAAAACACCTTTTAACTCTTTCATCAAATATTGCCGTCTTTAAAATCCAATGTAGACGCCTGGGGAGTCGTGGAAAAAAGCTTTTCCTTACAAGAGATGCCTGTCGGTTAAAAGAACCACGTCAGTTTTAAGATCAGAAATAGTGATCAAAATAGGCAAGTGCACACTGTGTCGAACAGAGCTCTGCTGCGCTATGTGAAATTCCATTTGATCCGCGAGCCAAGCGAGGACTTGACCCCTGATTTGTTGTGTGACACGTAGAGGCCTTTTGAAAGGCTTTTGAGCACAACATTGATCATTAAACTATGTGCCCGGTCATAACGTAGCAAAAACCCTATAAAAAGTGATTTTTGAGAACTGGATCAATTTATGTGAGGTGTGCTGAAAAAAGGAGTTACTTTTCACTATCCACAAATGGAGATATTGTCCACAAATTGCCACTAGGGTCAAATTTGTAGAATTTCTATTGATGCCTTATTCTTTAACTATAACATGCCTTTTATAATGTCATACATATCTATTGTCAAAACTTCACCTATAAGCGTGGTGTATCTATTTCCATAGGACTCGAATCCGGGTAGTAACTCATTTTGTCAGCACGCTTCACTTATGTCAAATTTAGAGCTTTTGCCCCCCTCCCCTTATCTTTTTTAACCTAAAAGGAAAATCTTGCCATGCTGAAATGATGGATCAAAGTCAGTCAAATGGAGGATTTTGACAATAGTTTCATCAGTCGACATTGGGTTGTCTATGCACCAATCATTTGCCCGATTCTCATAAATTGAGAAACATTTAAAATACAGACTTCATCCTTCTCCTGAGATTAATCCGCTCACTGTCTTGAATTAGCCCTTGTCGCTAGTTAATGGCAACCCCAGAATTACAAAGTTCTATCTGACATTTTTGGTCGTTTTGAGTTACTAAAACCATAAAGTCAGAAACAAAATGTTTTATCTACGCTATCAAACTCTTATTATTATTCGCAGTCATTATCAAGATATCCAAAGAGTTGCATTCGAAAAAGCTTGACATATTGTGAAACTCAACATTTTTAACGTTAAATTTCTCAAAGCTAGGTGCAGAGCAGACAGAACTTTGTAATTCTTATATAACGTAATATCTACCTTATTGATGTATTTCAGTCAAAGGCAGTGTTAAAATGTACGACTACCAATTATACCTTTCTTGTATTCCGTCCCACTTTTTAAAAAGTAAAGTCCTTTTTTCGGATCAAAATGCGATATGCTATCTTTGACTTAATCGACCACTCACCCCAGTCCCCTTCTCGCTCATTCCCCTCTCTCTTTTCTCTCCGGTTTACCAAATTCCTCAATTTTTTCCTTTCTCTCACCAGTTTTCCTTTTTTATTCTTCTCTTTTTACCTTCTGTCATCACATTCTCCTTTACCTTCCATACTTCCTCTTTTCCTTCACCTCCCCCCCCCCTCCCTTCCCTTTTCTCCTCTGTCTCCTCCTTCACCCCCTCCCCTCCCCAAATCCGTTCAACTGTTTCCCTCACACGTCTGCTTGGACACTTCAGTGACTCACGCTCAGCTGTGTTCAATGACCCCCGGACAAGTGTTGAGTTCCTGCGTACTGTCGACATTGCTGACCGTTTATGACGCTACAGCGCCAGGAGAGAGAGAGAGAGAGAGAGAGAGAGAGAGAGAGAGAGAGAGAGAGAGAGAACTATTTCCCTCTTTCCTCTCCCCCCTCTCCACAAAATACCTCCCTTTTCTCCCCATGACAAAACAACAACCCTCCCCATCCCTCCCCCCCAAAAAAACCCACAAAAACCCCCAGACAAACAAACAAATAACAAACAAATAATAATTAAAGAAAACTGTTTCTCCTTAGGTGATTGACCTCAAAGAGTCAGAAATCCTCCAGAAAGCTTTTTTAGAGCTACAAACCCGAGCTGACGACAACGCAGAGCAGGCATTCCAGGTCAGTAAAGTGGAGCACACACTGATTGAATTACTACTAGGAAAGTTCGGGAAGAAAGATGTGTTCATTTCTCAAGCACTGTAGTATGAAATGTGTGTCTTCCCCTTGCTCTATACATAATCTGGCGTACGTTTTATTATCTTGGAGTCTCCAGGAAAGCTAGTATTTTCGGTGCGCATTTATCACACACACACGCACACAGCCACACAAACACACACACACACACATACACACACACACACACACATAATTATATATATACATATATTATATATGTGTATGTACACACATAGAATATGTGTGGGTATGTATATACTACACACAAGTACACTGGTGTAATATATTATAGATAGATAAATTAAATAATAAATTTTTAATGCAAAGAGCACAAGGTTTATTTAAGGTACTAAATCAAATTTCGATACTTTCTTCTCAAGCCTCCCCCTCCCCCCCACACACACATTCAACCTTCTACCCCATTATTTCCCATTCTAATCATAAAGCACAGCTGAAACGTTACACACAGCACTCTTTCAGACAACAGCGCCATGGGTTTCCTAATGAACTTCCGGTTCCTGTTTCCGGCCAGGCCCTAGTGCTAGTCTAAGTTTGAGTAATCAACTCCATATCGATGAGTGAATCATCTTGAAGTGTACTTTGTCAAATATCTCCTCACCTATTGAACATAAAGTTCTCCAATTTTTGCACATTTGCTGGTATCAATTTGTCTTAACAGATCAATATTCTTGTGAAAACCTGTTAGCTCTATTCTAGAAATTTCCTAGATAAATACTAGTAAAAATTCTCAGAGGGAGGTTTCTATAGATTTTAAAAGGTTTACAGCTGGGACAATATTATTATCGCTTTTAAAAGCAAGTCTGTTATTACGTTATATTTTTTCTAATCGTGAGATTATGTGTATTGAACGCTTGTTTTGAGATCTTTTAGTGCAAAAAAGTGTTCGCCCTACATTCATTTCTTGTAACTACGTTTGCCTCAAAAAGTCTCATTGGTAAGCTGTGACGTAGGTCATATCCGTACGCAAAATGTGTGCAAGAAGTGGGAAATGCTGTGAACTATTCCATTTTCTGCGTGAAGTAGATTTGTAGTATTTTATATTCCTTTATGAATAAACGTTTTTAAATTTAGCCTCAATTGCAGTGGAAAATATAGTACGACGTTCTGCTTTAAGACGACGGGAAAAAAATGGATTGGCTGTGGAACGAAACAAAATTGTGGGGTCGCAAAGGGGTGGGTGGGTGCGTGGTGGTAGAATCTGACAGGCATCGTTCAGAGTACGTGCATCTTGGTGCCAGTGATGTAGAATATTATCGGCTATTCACAATCGATATGACCTGTTTTTCTTCTCTTGGCAGGGCAGATTAATTGTGAGATGTTATTTCCATCGATCTCCCTCATACACAACGTCTGCGTCTGAGTGGGCTGGACTGCATTTATAGATGTGTGCCAGACTAGTTAGTGTGTAGCCTGTCTCTTGTGGGTGGCTGGAGATTGTCTCTGGTTAAATTTTGTTACTTTGCGTCGTTCTGAAGAAAAATGTCCTTGTTAAGCACCGCAATGTGAAACAGTCTTTACTTCTAGCACTATAAAAAAACCTACATCTCCATGAGTTTAGTTTTGTTGTTGTTGTTGTTGTTGTTGTTGTTGTTGTTGTTGTTTTTGCTTCTATTCCAGGTAATTAAAACATATTTGAAGAATCCCTTTTTGAGGTGAGGAAATCAATGGCATATATTATAGTGGTATATAACTACACTTTAGGTGACAGACATTACTCTCACCAAAACAAAAAAGGACAAAAGAACAAAAACCCAACATCAGTTAAAAAAAACAAACCCAAACAAATAAACAACAAACCAACAGTAACAGCGCCAAGAACAAGAAAAACGAACAGCAAATTCCAAACAAACAGAAAAAATGACAGATCCTAAGTGAAGTTATTTTGTCGCCTAGAGAAATTCAAAGAAAAGACAACTAGGAACAGAACCGTTTAAAATTTGAAGAATAAAAATGTACACTCGCCTTAAATTTAAAGACTGACATATGTGAAGCGTGCGGACAAAATGAGTTACTTGCCGGATTCGAGTCCTATGGAAATAGATACATCACGCTTATAGGTGAAGTTTTGACTATGTATATGTATGACATAATAAAAGGCATGTTATAGTTAAAGAATAAGGCATCAATAGAAGTTCTACAGATTTGACCCTAGTGTCAATTTTTGGACAATCAATATCTCCATTTGTGGATAGTGAAAAGTAGCTCCTTTTGTCAGCACACCTCAAATATTCTAAAAGCTAGCATAGAGATAAATAGTATGGTGTACTTACTTTTACTTTGAAATGTTTTTCTTTCTTCAAATTGATCCGTACTCTCAACAGTTGCTATTTTTGTTTGTTTGTTGTTGTTGTTGTTGACAAGCGGGATTGATCGAGGCGACGTAGAAAGAGAAGAAGACAGTTTATTGTTGGAATCTATTTACGAAGCTGTCATTACGCCTTCAGTTTTCTTTCTTATTCTGAGGACTATTGCTCTATTTATGTCCCATGCTTTGACATGGACATAAAGGGGAAAGGGGGGGGGGGGAGGAAAGGGGTACTCAGCCCAAGGACATCGCACGCCAGGCTGGAAAAAAATATAGTTTGTGTTTTGTTTGGGCAGATTGCGGGAACTTCATCAGAATGTGGTTTTCTATCCAACAAAACGCCGATTTGTTTGGAAATAAGACAAAAGTTTTGGTCTAATGGTTTTTGTAGCAGAACATTTTCTCAAATATAGAGAAAGACAGACAGACAGACAGACAGACACACACACACACACAGAGCGAGAGAGAGAGAGAGAAAGAGAGAGAGAGAGAGAGAGAGAGAGAGAGAGAGTGTATATATATGTGTGTGTATGTGTGTGTGTGTGTGTGTGTGTGTGTGTGTGTGTGTGTGTGTGTGTGTGTGTGTGTGTGTGTGTGTGTTAGAGAATGTTTTGATAATACATGTCTTGTACATTTGAAGAAGAAAAAACTACGAAAGGGAGAGCAAAATGTCTGTGAAACTTACTAGGGTATCGTTAGGCGTATTACAGGCTGAACTGTACGTTCTTTGGGAACATAATGATACTTGCACAACGTATAATAATAACGATAACACCTGATTCTGAACGTATACCCATCTCAAACACCTTGACCGTCATCCATTATTTCTTACATGCAATCAGGGACAATGCTTATTTTATAGATTCCTTTATTGATTTATCGATTACCGTCTGTCACAGAGGCATGTGGTGTTGTAGCTTTTGTCGAGTATAAACTCAGCTTCTTTTCATCAATAATATGGGTATCGATTCTTACCCCCTGTGTGTGGAACAGAACGCTCTTGTTTTTTGTTCGTTTTCTTAAGACTGTTTTGTTTGTTTGTTTGTTTGCTTGCTTGTTTTTTTTCTTTTTAAGAGTTGCAGGGAAGGAGGCAAGGGGGGGGGGGAAGGAAGTACCGACATAGTAGTAATAATATATTAAGTTTTTCGTTCGTACGTGATGTGTGAGTGTGTGTGTGTGTGTGTGTGTGTGTGTGTGTGTGTGTGTGTGTGTGTGTGTGTGTGTGTGTGTGTGTGTGTGTGTACACGCACGCTGTTCATTTGTGTGCATTTGCGTATAAAAAAAAAAATACACATGCCACTGTGCAGCGCGTTGCTATGTTTTTTTTTAAAGCTTGGGTTGTCATATCTTGCTCAAGGACACACTCCAATGACCAAACATGAGAACCCCGTGTCACCGACACTTGCTTGACATTACTTTTGAGTCTGAACTCACTACTCACTTTGCCACTGGGGTTCTCAACACATAAATGGTCACTTTTAAGGACCAGCGAGCTTGCCCAGATTTCAAAGGTTTCCTGACATCTTGAGACCTACATCAAAAGTGGGCATTGCCCTACATATAGGAAAAATTTGATTTCATTGATGTGTATATTTGTTTGGTTAAAGAAAAAACTGTCCTTGACTTTTAAAGAAACTTAAAATTTTCTAAAAACGTCCTTTTTCGGGATAGTCCCCTTGTGCTTAAAGACCCAATGAAGATATACATAATATTAATACATTAAATATATGAGTGTGTACGCGTTCGTGCGTGAGTGTTTGTGTGTGTGTGTGTGTGTGTGTGTGTGTGTGTGTGTGTGTGTGTGTGTATGTATGTATAGATGCGTGTTTGTGTGTTTGCTTCTGCGTTTGTGTATGTATGTGTGTATCAGAGAGATAGGAAGAGAAATATATAATATGGAATTTGAGAAAGAGAGAGAGAAAGAGTGAGAGAGCGAGAGAGAGAGAGAGAGAGAGAGAGAGAGAGAGAGAGAGAGAGAGAGAGAGAAAGGAATGGTACTATAATCTCCCCTGCTTCACAAACGTGATTGTATTTCTAAATAAATTAATTCAAACCGTCATCTCCCATTGCTTCACCAAAGTCTACAACAAACAAAATCAAACAGTTATCTCCCTTGCTTCATCGACAAACATAATAATTGTTATCTCAATAAACTTACTGCAGTTGTTATCTTCCCTTGTACCAACTATTTCTAAAATTAAAACAACTACAACAACAAAGCCAACCCCTTAATAACCAACAAACAAACAAACTACAACAATTAGCTCAAACAGTGTTGTTCTCTCCCGCTGCTTTGACAAATGTACAGGGTGGCCCCAAAAAAAATTGAATGACGTCTTCTCTGAATATCTTGCTCAAAAACTGTTGAACAACGCTGTCATTTGAAACAGACTTAATTCGTTCAAAAGGAATTTGTTTGACATAAAATCCACGAAGAAGAAACATAATAAATATTTTGAAAACGGAAATGGCTTAAAGAAAAAAGCCCCCCAAAACGCAAAGTTCATTAAAAAAAAAATAATTCTCTGTTAAAGAAGTCGTGAAAAGATTGGTTGACCGTTTTCTTTTTTTTTCTCTTTGACATTTAATGTTCCATTCCTGTAATATATAAACGATATTCAATCTCTTTCATTGAGTTTAAAAACTAACGATTTCATTCTGGAATTCCCAGAAGCAGTGCTCTACATGCCCTCCTTTGGACTGGACACATTTTAACAAGTCATTCAAAATGTTCAATGGCGCCCAAACTCTAGGACCTGCTAACCCATGAGTACTTAAAGCTACATGCACTGTACACTTCAGTATGAAGTGGCTTCTAGAGACAATAAGGAGTATGGTGCGCAATAGACAGCAATTTTGGAACCAACATATCCTGCAGGGTGAAAATGAGTTTTACACTAAACCAAATGTCATCGAGGAAATGATCCTGCTTTTCAAGACAATCGAAGAACCATGAACATAATATTGTCTTGCTTTGATCCATGTCATCTCGGCCTAGCGAAGAGTAAAATGGTACATAGAGAATGTAGACTGTTGAGGCGTAGGAAAGTGCCGCAGAAGATCATCTACGGACAGACGTCTCATGGGACTCAACTACAGAAACCTGCACCTTGGTGACGTTTAAAGGGCTGCGCATGGTGCGTGTTCGACCTGAAGTGGTCATTTTTAGGGACATTTTAAATTCTGATTCGCTATAGATCCAAACTAACGGAACTTCTCTACTCAAGTCACAAAAGGTCTTGAGGACATGTAATGTTCAATACAGAAAGCTCCCCGCTCTTTACTAAACTTAACCATGATCTCAGCAGGCAAACGAAATTTGAGAATGGTAGGACAAATACAAACTGGGACGTCATGCTACGAAAATGGGGACACGATTGAAAACGGGTTGTTTTTTAAATGCACAATATAGAACAAAACCATTCAATGGACTTATGTAAAATTATATCTGGCAAATCCCCTTTGGCCTCCAAATATTATGTTAAAATCTGAAAAACAAAAATTCAATACGGAGGAAGATATTTACAAAACAAGTTGTACAGTTGTTTTTTTTTGGTTTTATTTTTTTGATCACCCTGTATATTATTTCTGAAGAAACTAACCCCTAGTGTTATCTCCCATGACTTCCTCAGGTGCTCCTCCCCCGTGTGTTCGACTCCTGGGAGCGCCACCTAGAGGCCTCCTTGGGCTACTTCATCCTCTCCTCCGGCTTCTCTATCGCCGACATGGCCATGTTCGACTTCCTGTCTCAATACCGCGCTTACCTGCCCCTGGACAACCTTCTGGTGCAGCGGAAACACCTGTGTCGTCATCTGGCGGCTGTTGAACGTCACCCGATGCTCAAAGGATACTTCCAGAAGTACAATGGTGGAGGCAAGAACCCACCTGACATTCTCGCCCAGCCCTAGGTCCACGCAGTGGCAAGCGGGGTTCGGGGTCGGTTAAGTATAGAGCTTGTTGTAGAGCGGGGTTATGCGTTCTACAAATGCAATTTATTTTTTATTACTACTATTATTATTACTATTATAGTAGTAGTAGTAGTAGTAGTAGTAGTAGTAGTAGTAGTAGTAGTAGTAGTAGTAGTAGTAGTAGTAGTAGTAGTAGTTGTAGTAGTATCCTTATTAAGTAACCTTTAGCCTCCACATTCGGAATTGTCGTGACCTAGTAATCACTTCTGAGGTCTCCACTCTCTGTCAAGGAATTACATTTCGGTTGCCGTGACGTCAGGAACGAAAGACGGCTTTTACTTACTTTGAGAACTGGGTGCGGAAAGGGGGGGG